ATTCAATATATATATATATATATAATGACACTTTTTGGTAGGAAATTAAAAACTAGCATTTTTTTAAAACCTTCTCAAGAAATAGTACAATCCAATTATATACAAATTTGAATGATGAAAATGTCCTCATATATAAATAAACCCTAGACATTCATTCATCTTCTCCAAACCCATCCTAACCATTCTTGCCATTGAAGACTTTGAAAACCCAGCCTATAAATTGATTCTACTATTTATTTGGTCTCAAATTTCAGTCGATTTGACTTGCATTTGTTGAAGTTGTTGGTTTAGGATGTGAGTTGGGTTGATTGTTGTTTGATGGTGTGAATTTGGGAATTTGGGTCGTTTTAATGGTTGTTAGTCATGGAAAATAATACTAGTGACTTAAGTTTTTTTGCCAATAAAGGGTTTCGGCCAATTTGAATGACCGTGTCAACCAAAAAGTGTAGGACATGAGAAAAAGAGGGGGATCTGGTGGAATCTGGGTTCGGCCAAGATTGGTTCTGTTCAAACAGCGACATTTTGGCCAAATTACATGGTTTCGGCCAAATTACATGGTTTCGACCATATTTGGCCACTTTAGTATGAAAGTGTAGAATTGGTCGAATATGTCCGATATCATGTCATTTTATCCAAAATCGATCGATATTGACTGATAGAGGGTATCGGTTGAAACCCATCTTTAACCTTTTAGCCATTTTTTTGGCTGACACTTCTGACATTTTTCAACACTCATACCCATATTTCGTCAAAACCACCCATTTTCAACATCTTAACTCAAATATAAGTTTAATCAACTATAACAAAAACAAATTATCCCCCGAAATAATTTATTTAACATGTCTCCTAGATATCTATGCAACATACTCACAATCTTAGATTTCAAACAACTTTCAAATAACAAAACTTACTTCTTCTCTCTCATGAATCATTCAATAACCCAATAATTCATTAAATCCTTTAAAAAATAGCTCCTTATGATCACAAACACAATTCTTCACTAGGGATTATAGAGTGGAACCATGGGTGTTGGGTTAAGGTTTAGGGATTTCTCATTAGCGGCAATTTCGTCTGAAAATTTTGTGTAAAATTGAACTGTGCTGTTTCTTGAGACACTTTTCAAAAAATGTTAGTTTTCAACTCAAGGTTGAAAATATTAGTTTCTAAACATATTATGAGTTATTCAGCATTATCCATACTAACAAGAATCCTCTGTGTAGACCCCATTAACATAGTTAATCTTTCCCACATTTGAAATTAGTATTATTTTCTTTTAAATTCCATTCGAGCAACCAAACTGCTATTTGGATCAAAATTCAAACTTGTGTATTGCGAAAATATGAATCAAACTTTTTTTTTTTTGTTGAGTTATTGCGTTGATGATATGGGGTTTGGCATCGAAAGGGGACTACTTGCATCATAGGTGCTCAAGCAAACAACTATAACAATATTATGTTAGCATGCTGTTTAATCTCCCAAAGTGGTTTGCCGGCAAACATCCACANTTTGTTGAGTTATTGCGTTGATGATATGGGGTTTGGCATCGAAAGGGGACTACTTGCATCATAGGATTAGGCGCTCAAGCAAACAACCGCAACAATATTATGTTAGCATGCTGTTTAATCTCCCAAAGTGGTTTGCCGGCAAACATCCACAACCATGAATAAAGGCAATATTCAATAGCCAAGACGTGGAGTTCCAATGAAATTTCTAGCAACAAACAAAAAAAAACTGGAAACAATATTGGACACGGCTTTTGAAGAAATTTAGGATCCGTTTGTTTAACTTTTTAGAATAATATTCTATTCTAAATAGGATATGATAAGATTTAATCTAATAGGATAGGATTCTGAAAATGTGTTTGGTAAATTTTTTGAAAACATTTTCTGAAAATATTTAGATTATTTTTAACCCCTTACATTTGTTGATTTACATAACACCCTCCCTAAATAAAAGTTTATAAATTAACAAAAACATCCCCACCCACCCAACTAAATGTCGACAACCGACCACCACCATCGGACGATGGCCAGAAGTCGCCAAAATGGCACACGACCTGTTGGATCTAGTTGGTCGTGCACCAATCTAGCATTTCTTGGTTAGATCCATCATGGATCTAACTAGAAATAGACAAATCTACTGCCACAGATCTAGCCATTGTTGACGGCCAAACAACGGCCAAGATATGGTTGTCATCAACGACCAGATATTTGGTCATAGATTTGGCCGGAAATGACCAAATCCAGCCGGTCGTGCGCCATTCCGGCAACTTGAGACCACCGTCCGACGGTGATACCCGACTTTCGGCAATTAGTTAGGTGGATGGGGGTGTTTTTGTTAATTTATAAACTTTAATTGAAAAGGTTAATTATTAAATTTTTTGAGTTGAATAAAATATGATTGGATTTTAAATTGAATAATCAATATTAAAACAAATATGCATTTCACTATTGGATAAGATAGTAAGCTAGGCTACAATAAAGCTAGGGACACCGAAAAACCTGCACCGAAATTGTGTACTGGCCTACGTGTAACACGCTTCTGATTTTTTTAATAATTTTTTTTCTAGTGAACGACCGTCCATCAAATTTGGACAGCCGTTCACTCACATGAACGTCCGTCCATATTATATGGACGGGGGTCCATATACCAGGGATGGGCATCCCCATTTAAAGGACGCCCGTCCATAAGTAAAATAGAATAAAAAATTTTTATAAAAATTAGGGACGGCTGTTCATCCGTTATGGACGGCCGTCCCTTCATTTTGGACGGGCGTCCGCAAATAAAGGATGCCCGTCCTTAACCAAAATATGAAAATAAAAAAAATAAAAAATTTGGGAATGGCCATCCATAAATTTTGGATGGCCGTCCATACTATTAAAAAAAAAAAAAAATTCTACACAGAACTCTTCTTCGTCTTCATTCCCCATCTCCTCTCTTTTTTTTCATCTTCATTCCTCATCTTTTCTTGGAAGGTCAACCTTGGGTTGGGTAAAGATTAACATTAATATTTTAGTTCATCCATAGGAACCAAATTACTCTTGGAGGTTATGCTACCTTGCTGGAGTTTTGCTATCTCTTATCAACCACTGGATGATCCCTTAAAAAATTAAGGCAGCAACCTGATATGGGTAATTAGTACCCCTGTACCATAAATACTCTCCTTCCCTGAGAAATGAGAATATTAATAACCTTAGATACTAAAAAGGAAAAAAGAACTCACCATTTATTTTTAGCGTTATATATAGCTCAGCCCTGAAAGTTTTTGTGATAGCTGAGACTCTTGAAAGTGCGCTATTTTTTATTATTGACAAAAACCCTGTTTTTGATTAATACTTTGTTGCTGCTATTGCTCTGTGTGTGTATGTATGAACTAAATAACGTGGTTTTCTAAGTTTTACTTAGTAAGTCACTACCATTTTGCTTCTCAGGTAAGTGGTTGCTTGTCATACAGTGACAAGATATCCGATGGATTTTACTACATTTTCGGGATGAACCCGTATCTGTGGGTGATGTGCAATGATTCGGAGGAAGGAAAGCGGCTACCATCTTTGGTGTTGCTTAAAGAAATCGAACCTACTGAAACCACCATGGAGGTGGTTCTTATTGATAGTCATGGTGACCCCCGCCTCAAGGAGCTTGAAGACAGAGCTCAGGAATTATATTGTGCTTCTGAAAACACCTTGGTCTTGGTGGAGAAACTTGGCCAACTTGTTGCTATCTGCATGGGGTAAGTTTGGAAATCCTTCTTCATTTGCTTCATGTTTGAATCTTTTGTTTTTATCGTTGGATATTCAGGGTATCGAATTTGTTTAATTTTTAGAGGAACTTTCCTGTTGGAGCAAGGTGATCTCCACAAGCGCTGGAAATTAGTTAGCAGGAGATTGAGAAGATACCGTAAGTGTATAGTGATACCTATTGGCAGTCTAACTACGGGACTGTGCAGGCATCGAGCAGTTTTATTCAAGGTAAACATAACACCTTTTTTTTTTTCCTATACATATTATTTTTCTTTTGTAAGCTTACAGCACCTGAAAACTATTACTGAAAGAGGAGACAGGGAACAGATGAACGGCCGTCCCTTCATTTTGGACGGGCATCCGTAAATAAGGGACGTCCGTCCTTAACCAAAATATGAAAATAAAAAAAATAAAAAATTTGGGAACGACTGTCCATAAATTTTGACGGCCGTCCCTTACGTTTGGAAGAGCGTCCTTTAAATAGGGATGCCCATCCCTGGTATATGGACCCCCGTCCATATAATATTAACGGGCGTCTATGTGAGTAAACGGCCGTCCAAATTTGATGGACGGCTGTTCACTAGAAAAAATTGTTAAAAAAATCAGAAGCATGTTACACGTAGACCGGTACACAATTTCGGTGCAGGTTTTTCAGTGTCCCTAGCTTTATTGATAAGATGGGATAGAGTTTGAAAAGTTTATCAAACAAGGGGTTAACAATTCCACACCTTGGGCAAAGGTCCAAGTTAACTTGTGAATAAATTAAAAGTTTCAGGATAAGAAAATAAAAGGTCATTTTAAGATTGGAGTGCACTTACAGGGTTTCTTTAGTTATTTTATGCTCAAAATAAAAGTTTTAATTTAAAAAAAAAAAAAACAAATAACGAGGCTAGAAAGAGTTATTTTTGAGTTAAAAATTAACACCACTCTAAAGCTGAATACCGTTAACTGAAGACAGCGCCAATGCTAGTGTGGGGCCTGCGGGCAGAGGTGTTTCTTATACATTTGGTGTGAGCCCAGGTTAGGCCTGAGACTGGGCAGTTGGGTCGTGATGTCCAACCACGTTAGACCTTACTTTATTGTCCAGCCCAGCCCATAATCAACTCTACTGGGCTCCATTACGGCGGTTAGCCTAAAGCGTTGAATACTATAAAATTTTAAACACACGAAAAGTATTGAATATTGATAACTAAGGGAGAAAAGGGACAGTCCACATGCTCACGCAAAGCACTAGAATAATATTAAATTATTAATTAATCAAATAATTAACAAGGAAAATGGAGGAGATTCTTGAAATGATGACAAAACTATGTCCACATCCTCGTGCCATTTCTTATAATTTCATTTGCTGAGGCACCTCTCCAAAGTACTATAACTTTTTAGTCTTTTACGACCTTTTCAAGATTCTACGTACCCACAAAGAAATAACGAAATTGAATAACTATGGAGGTGGAGGCACAGATTGATCAGTTGCCAATAGATTTGTTGGCTCATATCTTTGTTTTGATTACTTCCTTCACTGATTTAGCCCAGTAAGTATTGTTTTCATGTTTTATATTCATATAGGTTTCGGTGTTGTTTTGTTGTTGATAATTTTTGGTTTGTTTGTTTAAAAGGGCGAGTAGTGTATGTAAGAAATGGAAAGTTGCAGTGAAGCAGTCTTTAGCACTAAGAGAAAATTTGAGCTTTGCTGGGTGGAAGATGGATGATGATTCCACCGCACGTCTTGTTGGCCATGCTTACAGCCTCAAAGAACTTGAAATGTACTCTATCTTTCTCTGTTTTTTTTCTTTTTTCTTTTCTGACTGTGCAATCATTTTCTTTTAATGTTTGTATTTCTTGAAAAAATTGAGGCCTCATGGTATTTAGGGTCAGAATTCAGGAGATGATCAATGAAATTTTGAATGGGAACACTTTTTCTTCCATGAAATCCTGATCATAAATTCTGCATATTGGAATGTTCACAAGAAAAAAAAATGTCTTTTTGGTTTTAGTCGGCAAGAGTTCTCACCGTTTCACAGTTGCATAGCAACAAGCCTCCCTTAAGCAAATTTAAGCCGTTCTCTTTCTTTGTTCACAATTTCTTCGTAATCCAATTGAAACCTTAAAGAATATATTGAGGGCTTGGAGATGACCTGGAAGTTCTTGATCCTGGAAAAAAAAAAAAATTCGTGATTATACATAGTATGGAAAGTCTTTATTAGGTTATTTGTAAAATTCGATATATCATATAATTTCAGTTTTAATCTCTTTCCTCTAGTTTGAGAATGGATGAAGTTATGTTGAACAGGCTGAATTGCTCAAATGCAGCTAATAAGATTAGATTCTGTCCATGAAGATCCAAAATCGTGGCATAATCCAAACTGTGTTGTTTCAATGGTGATTCATTTGCTCTAAGTGTCTACATTGATCCCATATCGTGCTATTTTGATGAGGTTTATTTTGACCCTTGAGTAAATTGTGGATAACATGTATGTGCTGTGTTTCTCATCTGGAGTGTTCACTGCTAATTCCATGAATCAGTAATTTCATACGTGCATCATCCCCCTCACCATCCCTCCCTTAAAAATAAGTGAAATAAGAAAATAAACTTATATTTTTAAAGATTTTAATCAAATTAATGCAAGAAATATATCTAGTCTCTTTTCTTCTTCTCACAAGAGATTGGAGGATGGTCATTGATGTAGTGGGCAAGAACAATCCCATTTAAGTATATCTTTCATACTAGATTAATGTAGGATGCTCCTTTTCTTATAAGTTTGTACTAAGGTAGTTATGATCTAGCCAACATGTTAAGTTTCATTGTGCCCAAAGAGATATCTTAATTGGTTTTATCTCTTTCTGTCGACACAAGGTTTAGGAATCAAATCACTCTCAAACCAACATTAGAGGGATTAATGATGTTAAGTTTCATAGTTCTTGCTGTTATGTTATTGATTTTAAAAAAATCCTTCTATAAGCATTAGAATATCTTTCTTATTCTTTCAATTGATTACTTTATAATTGTTTATTAGTTGAGCATTGTGGAGAAGTGAGATGTGTTCTGATTTCTATCATCCTCTTTATATTTCTTTTAATTTTCAGTATAGGTTATAAATAAATATCAGGACAGCTAAGTTTCAAATTCCTAAAAAATGTGTAGGATATCTGGCCAGTAAAGAGAAAAAAAGGACATATGGACTTGCAATGGTCATGAAACCTTGATTATCAGATTGGTAATATCCATAAATATCTTTCTGCCACATGCTGAATGTGAAAGTGTTTGATGTCAAGTACATGTACCTGAATCAAGATCAAAATGCATCGAGCTGATTCTTTACATTTTCAGTTTACGATATTCTCTTATTGTATTTCAGTTCAAGGAGTCGGTGGGATTGTCAAATAACAGACAAAGGACTGTACAGAATATCATTAGCAAAATGTATCAGCAACCTGACGTGCATATCGCTGTGGGGCTTGACAGGGATCACAGACAGAGGTGTTATTCAAGTGGTATGTTGTCATAATCATTTTTCAGAACACAAATACGTGTTGGCAACAAAATTTTAATGGTTAAACTGAATGTCAAAGTTAGGAACTCTATCCTGCAAGCTATCTGTTTTGCATAACCAAATTTTTTTCTGAAAAATATTCATGGATAACTTTAGAAGTAAAACATGAATTTTGACATAGCTAGAGGTTTATGCCATTGACCGGGGATGTGATTAGGTTTTGTGTTTTATACATTTTTAAACTTATTTTGGCCATTGACTAAATCTATGGTAGCTATGGAGTTTTCTTTGAAACTAACTGATGATGCATTAATGGTTTTGCTTTTGAATGTATTGTATTTGTGGTATTTGTTTTGATTTAGAAGATAGCATGCCAATCTGGATTTTCTTAACTTACCTTACCACCTTTTCGACAGATATCAAGAGCTAGTTCCTTGAAACACCTGAATATAGGCGGTACATTCGTCACTGATGAATCTCTGTATGCCATTGCAAATAGCTGTCCACAATTAAAAGTGAGTTATCTGAAAAAATTGCACTTTGAATTATATTGTTGCACCAATTAAGACGTCTCAATTTCCAGTCCAGCAAGAAAAGAGTTCAATTTTGAATGCTTTTACATGGCAATTAGTATTACCGAAATGCTTTCTGTTAGTCAATATAGTTGAATAAATGCATATTGAACAAGTGTGTCTAAGTGTCTATAGCTCTTTTCCAGAATATTGTACTGTGGAGCTGTCGTCATGTAACTGAGAATGGGCTTCTTTTTCTTGTAAATAAATGCCAGAAGCTTGAGTCCATCAATGTATGGGGAACCAGAATTCCTGTAGACTGCTTCATAGGATTGCTTACAATCAGTCCAGCCCTTCAGATAAAGCCTGAGGGACTGCTCTTAAATGTTGGAAATGCTTCTATGTTGCCTGTTGTATAAGCTGTTGCTGTTCGTTCAATCTTGTTTTTTCTGTTGCGCTTTGTACAGATTATTTCTCTTCGTATTTTCATAATTGTTGTAAAAGTGTGTATAAATTGCCTATTGTTTTCACTTTGGTTATGTAGAGTGAGGCATCTGTTGTATTCTTTTGTGATTGTGCACAGGCACAAATGATATTCAAATAAAATAAATCTGTATGATTATACTACCACCCCATTATGGGAGCATGATTATATTAACACTCGAATTGAAGTAGCCCAATGGGTTATTAGATGAATTATTATTGGACATATCTCTCTTCTTGCTAATACTCACTTCATATTAAATAAGATAAATAATAAAATAGAAATCTAGCTCCAAAGTCCAATCTTCACCATTGAATTGCCCCCATAAGGCCTAAAATAATTAATGTGTGAATCACACACCAGTGTTGGTCTAAATATGCTAAAGAAGCCCTGCCCGTATCGGTACAGGCTTGGAATTCTTGGTTTATGCATTACTATATACTAAAGCCCCCATACAAGTCCGAGTTCTTTTTACAAAATATAAATTTTTTAAACTAATAATAATTCATTTATATAATTTTATAATCAATGTTTTAATTTTAATTTTAATTTTAAAACTTGAATCTGACCAATTGAATCCAAAACCGTTATTAATAGATCGAACCAACTAGGGTTAATTCGAAAAAGTATAAGTATTTTTAAATGTTAGGTTTTTATTCCAAAAATAAGTTTCACATTAAAAACATTATTCAAAATTTTAAAGAGAATTACTATTTTCCTCCCACATTTTATCTTTCATGACCCAATTTCTAAGTTTACCCCATTAAAATGCTTCAGCATATGCAAATGTCTTTATAAACCTCACCTATTTCCAAAAATCTTCTTTTATTTATAGTTTTAATATTTTTTATGCTTCTTATTTTGAATTAATGTTGAGAGATAAAATTCATTCACAGGTATTTTTACTTTCAAAATTGTAAGAATAATTAAAAATTTTGATGCTTCAAAATAACTTATAAAGAAGAAAAAAGTTTAAACTTACAATTATAAACCGTAAATTTTGTCTCCATTATATTTACATGACCTTGATTAAATTCTCTCAATTGCATAAATTCCATCTTTATTGAATTTATGCAATTGAAAGATGAACTAAAATTATTGAATTAGAGTTTATGATCAAAAGATTAAATAAAATTTTTAGATATGTAATTAAAAATTGAGGTCTTATTTAGTAATTTTAATAAAGGATAAAATTGTAATTAAAAATTTAATAATAATTGTGGTCTAAAGAGATAAAATATAGGGGGCCAATAGCATCACTCAATTTTAAATTATATTCTAAATTTTTAATATTTAAAAAGTGTTTGAGAAAATATTTTATTATAAAACTTATAAATTAATGTGAAAATGTCTTTAAATTGTTTTATAATTTTATACTAACTGAAAATTACTTTCAAAAATATTATAAATCATTTTTACCAAACATTTTCATAAGATTTTTTATATTCTCTATTTTCAAAAATAAAAAAACTGTATAAATACCAACATGCCGAAAAAGTCCAGCTTAGTTCATGTTTCTCTAATATGGAGGAAAGACAGTTCGATTTGCCTTAAGCGTAATTCTGAAGCTTGATTCTCAACCAAGCTGTGCATTCAATATAGGATAATCTTTCCAATTATTCAAATTCCATACCCAACACGAAACCACACTACACGCTATCTTCCCATGGCCATGGAATAAGCATTAAATTTTAAAACTTATAATATTATATCATCAGTGCATGGTGCAAACGTATAATATTGTATAGCTTGCTGGCTGTTGATAATTGGCTTTACATATATTCTTAGACAAACAAAACTTTTAAGAATGAGTTAGCAGAAAACACATTACCAGACATAATGGCAAACTTTGGAATGAAAACAATATGGATTAGTGGTATCAGTGAAGAAGACATATGATTAAATGTCAATATCTAAGACATTTCAATACTCAAGGCTCCTGAACTAAAACCTCAACCAAATTTTTAAACACTCTGGCTCTCTCCTCACCACTATCTACATCAGTTCCTGCTTCTTGCTTCAGTTCTTCATCTAATATTCTAAAATAACTCAACTCTATTAGCCAATGTTTTGTAAAAGGCAGTGATTTGTTCCACCAATTCTCATTCCAAAATCTACTATGTATCATAGTGCCTCCTATGGTAGGCGACTAATGTTCTCCCCCAATATATTACTCATCGCAGTAATAATAGAAACACCATCAATGAAAGATAAAATAATTTGAAAAGCAAACAATTTGGGCAATGGACTATTGAAGCAGAACTTGAGAACTGAACAGATCCAGTAAAGCTTCCCATATTATTTGTTGGTGGACTCCTCGGTACGGCAACATTCTTGCAAGATCCAAAAGGTGCTCCAGCCTGCAAAATTCCATCAATAAAGTCTTGTCTAACAAACAAATTTATATGCAGATAGTACATTATTACAAGAGCTAGAACTTAAAAACATACAAATATAATTATGTTCAACCAAAAAATATAAAATCCAAATTAATCAAGATTAATGCAAAATTCTATGGTTGATAAAGTATTGACAGTTCACTCTAGGGTGAGTGTAGATTCTGATGTGCACCCCAGATTAAGTCGATGCAAAGTTCAAATTATAAACATTTTGGCAATAAATTGTTGGAAATTCCTGCTAACTTATGACCTGCTTTCTTTTTTATTTTAGAACTTTCAGCCAGATTGGAAAAAATATAATAAATTGTGATTTCCTGGCTTGGCAAAAGGCAAAATATGGATTTCAGAGAGTGAGAGAGAAGTAACTGAACGAGTATGTGGACTTGGAACAGAAGAAGTTTCCAATTACCATGTTTTCTTCTTCTTTCAAAAAAAATTACTAGGGACCAGAATCCAAAAGAGAGGTAGTGAGTTAACTGAACCAGAATGTGGAATTGAAGTAGCTAGAAATCAGACTATTATCTGGACAAACCTGGCAGGCTTGGACAGTATTGCACCCACACAATGTCTGGCCATTCATTTTATCCAAAATATCAAAGACACCACCTCCATCACTCCTCTGCAATATTTTCTCATCAGTTAGGATGCTTAGTCGGTATAGGATATCTTTGCAAATTTATCTAAGGTAAGTAAAAATTGAGTACCATGTAAAAATTGACTGCCAAAAAGTTAGGCATCACATTCCCAGCTGCTTTATAACAAGTACCAGCCATCTCAGCTAGTGGAGTTGAATGCTCTTTGCAAGCATCATCTTCAACTGGATATGTAGGGAAATAATTCTGAAGGAAAAGGGACGCCTTTTTTGAATTTAGCGGCTGTGATTCTTTTCTATTTGGACAAGAGCCTTGTTTCACCCCAGGGTCTCCAGCTGAATGCAATACATCATGAGGCCATTAAAGGATGACATGTGTGCGATTCAAATTCATAAAAGCATAACAGTTATACAAATACTTACCTTCATTTTCCACCATGTATCTCCACTGATAAGCTATCCCTTCCTCTGATTCCTTTGAAGCAATAGAAGTGAAAACAAGAAGCCGGTAGTTCGACTGCACCATTTCTGTTACAGTTGGCCAGTCTTCACCTTTCTTGGGCATCTTGGTCACAGGAAACCAATACTTGTCCAAACCAGCACTAGTAAACAAATTAATTAACCCTTTTGGAGTATGCACATAGTCCTCTATTATAATAGTCACAATCTCAGTTGGATTCTGACTCAAGAATGATTCCACTTCTTTTAAAGTGTTGATTGCAGGTTGCTGAGAACAATCCAAAACACACATTACAAACTCATTCAAAAAACAATACAACAAAATCACATTTTCGTTGCTAAAGGAAGAAAATAGGGAGGAAATTTACAAACGCAGTGAAGTTGAAACATTGCCCACGAAATGAATGGCAGAGCCAGATATCATTATTGAAATCGTACATATCCAGCATCAATCCCCTTACTCCATTCTAATCCATATCCACCAAAAGAAAAATACATAAGAATTTGATTTAAGACAAGACAATACATATAGAGTGCATAATCCTATAGAAAGGAGTGCAAAGCGATTTAGAGGACAGAATTGACATTTTGCTTGATAAATCTTTCCTACGAATCAAGGGATCAATAAACACAGGAAAGATTGAAGAAAAACATAATGGCGTACCCTCAACTGATTAGTAACAGTGTCTTCTTGATTAAAAAATGTGAGTCTTTGAACACCAGGCAAAGCCGGTGCATCAACGATACTAAATGAATTGTGAGTCACCAACCATGTATACTTGTTGAAAGGCAACCCTCCAATCTTTTGGTCAACAATTTTCACAAAACAAATCAATCCGAAGATAAAAAGAAAACAAACCCACCACCAAATGTATTAAAAGTTTGAAGCACAAGGAAGAAGCTTACAATAGCGGTTGGTATGTTAGCTTGGCCTCTGGTGCAAATGGGTTGTCTCTTTCCCAAAGCAGGGCAGTTACCGCAGTAGAGACCTGGTCCACAGTCTGTAGGAGTAGCACATGAATCAAGAACCTGTTGATGTAAAAATCATAAAATTCAGTACTAGGTCATGAAAGAAAGAAGAATCACAGACAGATCAGGATTTAGTACCTGACAATTGCCGTTAGAACAGGCAGTAGAGTGAAAAAGGAAGAGTGAAAGAAGTGTCAGTAAGAGGTACGAAGTTGCGTAGGCTCTGCATAAGCCACAAGAGTCCATGAAACACACCAACATGGCTACTGCGTGCTTATGCGGAGCTCTAGAAAATTCCAGTAGAGAGAGAAAAGAGGTGACTCGAAGTGGTAACAGCTGCAAGCCTAAAAACTAAAGCAAAAGAGAAGCTATACTGTGCAGAGATGTGACATCCATAAGGTATTTTGGGTAGTTAACGCGGGCTTTAATATCAGTATCTATCACTTTTAATTTTTCTCTTTTTGCATTTTAAGAAAATAATCACTTTACTTTTGCTTTGGACAGTTATGTTAAGATGATGTCGTTTTGTTTGAGATCCTACTCCTACGGGGAATGTCTTCTTCTAATTTGCCTTGGGAAAATTGTCTAATATAATATATAAAATATATGTATTTTGTGTAATGAGTCTAATGACGGTATTTGTCTTTGTCTAAGGGTCTTTCATTTGGTCACACACTCACACTTCGTAAGTTTTTCTTATCAGTGGCGCTCACGTGGTGGGGTAGGTTGCCTCCACTGCGTGAATGCACCGTTGGGAGTTGGGACACTTCTCACTAACTACCCCATCTTTATCTCGTTCTCATGCGCCGCTCAAACACGCCACACGCCAATTGAGTTCCGCAACGTAATTTCTTGGTGCAATTGGTTTTCAAATGCTCTATATTTATATCTGATAAATGTATTTTCTTGATTTTTTTTTTTTTTGTGGTTGTCTTACGCTTTATTGTTGTTAAAACAGCAGGTTCTGCAAAACAAGTGTCTCGTACAATTAGTCAATTACCCAATTTTAGATGCCAAAGTGTCAGGGTAGTTTACTTTGTTAGGTGCGAAATCTACTATACTCGAATCAAGTTTGGCCACCTGAAAAGGGAACTAAAACACTTGCGTACGGGATCAGTCAACTGATTAAAACTTGTTAATACTAATAATTTTTCAAGGAAAATACCAGGCAATTTTTACTATATTCATTGAGCACAAGAGCTTGATGGTCAGAACAAGTAAATGAAAGCTTAACCTAAAAGCAAGTAATCCAGGTAATGTAGGTAATGCGTTGAAGTACATTTTTGTAGCAATCCATGATAAAAACATTATCCACAGAAAAGAGAAAGGAAGATACGAGCAACAAAACAAAAGTGGTCAATAATACTGCTTTTTCTATTGCCCTTTATCCAATGAACTAATTTCCTAAAGTTAGTGGATGTAGTCTGCAATGGAATAAACATGAATCAAAAGTAAGAATTGAATAGGTTTATCTATGGAGATGACAATTGCATCTCCAACAAAATGATGGAGAGCAAACTTTTCTCCAAGGTAAATGAGAATGATGCTTCCACATGTTAAAAGAATGTAAAAATTTTAAACTTTGAGCTTATAATAAATGCTTAAACTAAGCAAGCTTCTTAGCACGGCCACTTGAGGGAGCAGCGTCCTCCTTTTTTGACCCAGATGCCTCAGGCTTCCTAGCCCAAGCAGGAGCTCTGTCTGGCTCATAACGGTAATCATAAAAAAGTTCCTCTCCAGTACTAATTCGCTCCTTGGCAAAAATGCCCACCCGATGATCCCCTGCAACCATGATGACCTGCCAGACAATGGTTAAACATGAACTTCAAATTAGCATACTCACTGCTCTACATGTGATGCTCCATCTAGAATCTAGACTACTGTTTTCAAAAAAAGGTTTAGCGGCATTTGATCAGTTGGCAGAACCTGAGTGCATAGGTAGTCAAAGGGTTACCTTTGCATAGCAGTTTGGATCTGGAGAATGATTTGCAAACTTCAATTTGTCACCCTTCCGATAAGCATCAAGAACAAACTGCAGACATGGATTTAAATACTCATATTTAGCACTGACATATTTAGCACAAATGGAAAAAAGTTGAGACAATCTGTAGTGCCATAGATCATGCCTGATCATTGAGATTGAATAGAAATGATGAATTTTCACGATCATATATCTTTCCACGTTTGTCTGCTTCTCGATGTGAAATCAGCTCTCCAGTATATTCACCAAGATATTCATGCTTTCCAACACTATTCTGTAGGCAAGCCAAAATTTATTTAGCATCAAGAGAAAAACAGAGGTCATATCATATGAAGACTGATTCCTTCGGTTGGGCTAAGCTTAAATAAAATCTGGATATTACCTTTAAGAAAGCTCCCCACCCAGAAACATCAGACCTGCCAAGTAAAACCTGTACAAATGGAGGATTAGAAGTGAGTCAACGCAAATATACTGTAGAATCTTTAATTTCAAACTCTTCTAGTTTTACAAGAATCAGTTACATTCACAGTACATATCTAATCAATACAATGCCAATTAAGTGGTATATTTGATATACACCGAAGGCAACTGCTAAGAAAGAAAGACACACCCACACAGAATACCAAGCAGAAAAACGTTACAGAATTTCACCTCTGTATCTAAGCTGAACATTTTACTGCTTAGAATCAAACATTAGATACCCTATTTTGTCCTTAAACTTACGAAACAAATATATTGTGACTGCATATGAACTCAGCCCTCAACATTACTAAATTCACACTCCAGAAACCAAAAAATTCCATTGATTAGAAATTATTAATGCCCAAGGTTCCAGAAGGTATCAGTTTAGGGTTATTGTTTTGACCATATGCAATTTCATATACCACCTTATCCATAAAAATGGAATAGTGAATCCAACCAATTAAACCTAAAAGCAGCATTTATTTTTTAATAATTAATAAACTTTTGTCAAAATAACAGAGAAAAGGTACCACTTCAGTACATGGGACATATACAAAAGGAACACAACCACTGAACTCTAAGATAATAAATACTAGATTAAATGATAACTCAAGGACAAAATTAAACAAATACCTCTTCTACTGAACAAATTCCAAAATTAAGCAGAGCTTAACACTCATTAGTCATTAGAAAAGATGCTCATCCCAAAACTTGATGACTTCAGTAAATTTAATCCCCAAGCCCAGAAATGTAGAAAAATATTTGAAGAATATCTTCACAGTAGAAAGGAAAAAATATATACAACATTCATCAGTCTAAGTAAATTCAAATAGAAAGTAACAAAAGCAGGGTGATAGAAGAATGCAATTACTCTTTGTTGTTGTTTAAGAAGAAGCTTCATATTCCTACATTCATAGTTATCGCCTTTTTGGTCAGGAATTCCAAGAGTACCATCACCACAACTGCAAAACCGATTAAGAAAGCTCAAATGACAGATAGTGTGAAAACAGTGAAAAGAGTACCAATAGTAAAAGATTGGCTTAGTTACCTGGGCACCGTAAGATAACAAAATTCAACTGATTTGTCTAGGCGAAAAAGAAATGTGACATCTATTGATCCATTTTCAATTTTCATAATTGTTTTGATACCCAAAAATCCCTCAGCCTCACTTATATGTGCATAGTGTTTAAAACGAAGGACTGCTGTCAGACCAACAATTAGTAGTTGGAAACCAAATATCCCATGTAGCTGACTCCAAAGGGTTTTGAATCTTTGAACTTTTGTTTAAAAACTGAGGATTTATCAGTGAACCCACCCTTTGGGGTTAATTTCATGAATTACTACCATAGGAGAAGCTAAAACTCCTCAAACCAAAACACATTCACAATTGAGTAAAACAGATAAAGCAAATGTGTAACTAAGATGCAGCATCATACTTAACATGATAGTCCCCCATTTATCATTGGTTTTTATTCCCACAAATCAATCAAGGGATATTTTTCACAATATGCTACAAAGTACCTGAACGAATGAGCATCCAAAATGAAAACTCACCTCACCCAACAATTCCTACAAACATCTGGATCACATTCCCTGTCAGCTGCAAAACATGGACACTGACGACTTCGACATTGACTTTTAGCACAGTGACAGCCTCTAAACCGATTCTTGCAGCTCTTGGGACATCTGGATCAATATGTAAATCTTAAATGAGATTATCCATGCATCATCAATATTATCATTGAGTGTACAATAAAATCCTGTCGCAAAACATTTATAAGAATGACCCGATAATTGCCTAAATTGGTGTAAGACAGCCACACATCAATAAATGCACGCAATGCACAACCACACACAAAAGCTTAAATAACATCTAGATCCATAAACCCCACAATTTCCGTAAACTGGTGAGACATGCAGAAACTCTTCCAACTTGCACACTAAATCAGGAAGGAAAGCAGCCATCTTAGTAAAAAATAGTAATTTGCAATTTTCAGGGCAAGAAACACCTAGATACTTCTAGATGTTTGATTTCTATGAATTAAAGGGAAAAATAAGGACTCACCCACAATACTTTTCACAGCAGGTTCCATTTAGAAGGCAAGCACACTGCTTTCCACAAGCAGTTTGGCAGCCACATGGATTATACTGCCGGCATGGCTGATCTTTTCTCTCAGTAATCCGTTTCCTAATTGAATGGTAAGCAGCAGATTTCCAAGTATACTTCAGGCGACGTACTCTACCTCTCCTACGTAAAAATCTTGATCTTCTTCTTACTTCATTGTTACCCTAATGTTCATATAAACCACCAAGACCCCCAAAAAAATTTGAAAATAAAAAAGAAAGGAAAAAAGAAATATACTTCTTAAATCAAGGGGAGTCCAATATTTTGAGTCAAGCAAACCATATAAGATAAAAATACTAACCATATTTCCATTTAAATCAAACTTAGAATAGCCTTCAAGAAGAGAATTTGCGGCATCACCTTCGCCAAAGAGTTTATTCTCAGAGGAAGTCAGGTACTGGAAAACCTCCCAACAAGTCCTCAATCCATTTAATAGGTTCCTAGCTATTAGACAGCTGCCATTACCAACAAAGCTCCACCCTTAGATGAAGCATCAATAAACACAAACAAAAATATCTTGGAAACAATAAGCAAAAACAATGACATATATATACAGCAAAGCGTTTTCAAACTACACATTAGACACAGCAAAAAGAAAAATTGGGTTGTAAAATTGAATCTTATGAGCTGCCAACAAAAAATAACCATATGGAAACAAATTGACAGCAAAACTACTCAAATAAGTACTTTACAGTGATCCCGAGCTTTTAAAATTTCATGAAGCCAAGGAATATGTGGGGCATATGCTAAATACCACTAAACCTATTAATAGTTGTTTTTTCACAAGAAAAATGAAAAACTAACATCATTTCTCGTTAAAAAGAGATTGACGCAAGTTTTTTTTTTATTAAAGGTCAAATCTGAATCATGCAAAAATTCATCTCCAATCCTACACATAAAAAAAAATTCTTTTCAGGAAAATGAAGTAATATGGTAAATATTAACACATCACAGATTCCGTTGACCAACCTGTTCCGGCCAAAGATTTCAACACCTTTATCAAAAAGACCTTTTTCAATAGCTTTCCAAGATTTATCATCACTTAGTTCTCGTTTACAAATGTTCTCATCCACATACTCCTCTTTCCTAAAGGTGCTATTACTGCTGGTTGCAGGTGGGTCAGTAGTCATCTCAGACGATAGAACAATGGGAACTTCACCCTGCACTGAATTGCGGCTATCCTGAACTCCCTTCTTCCTAGTCCTTCCAGAATTTGGAGATTTAACATTCTTATGTGAAGAGGAATTAGCATCTTCGTTTTCTCTGCGTGAATAAGATCTAAGCTTCATATCACTAGGTGGAGGAACTCCACTCACAGTGGAATCAGAATCAAAAGCTGCCATTTTCTTCTGTCTCTTTTGCATGCAAACAAGAACACGTTCAGCAACTCGCTTGCTATTCCTTTTACGTATTCCATATTTTCCAACCACCTTAGTTTTTGAGGGTGATGAGCGGTGGGTAGAGGTGGTATCTTGCTTGGGGCCAACCTCTGAGTCACTGCTTTCAGAAATGTTTTTAGCATTGGACGAAGCACTTTCACTTTGGTAGGATTTTACCCGCCTTCTAGCAGACAGAACTGAAGATTTCTTCCTGGATGATGTCTGAGCCCCAGCACAATCAGATGATGAGACAGATCTTTCTTCAATATTAACCTTCAAAGGGGAGCTAACTGCAGCATTTCTTTCTGACTTCAGAACCTGACACAAGTGAATATAAAGCTACTTAATATATTGTTTTCAAATTCTTCAAGGAGATAAACCAAGCACATAAATCATATCAATCAAACAGCCAACACATACCGATCGATAACAATGTGGGCCACATGGCACATTATCCTCATCTAAATGGTATGATGGAGGTTGTTTATCAGCCTGACATTTTTTTTTTTTTTTTTTACAAGAAAAATATTAGAACCTGGAAAGATCTTCTAATAAATATTAACAGTCAGTTACAGAATCAACTTACAGGAAACACAAGGTCCTGCGAACATCCATGTAACCTGCAATCAAAAACCTGCCAACACAAAGAGAATAGCAATGTCCTTAACTACAGGAAGATGGATGAAAACGTAAAAAGATTGGCTTAGTTACCTGGGCACGTAAGATAACAAAATTCAACTGATTTGTCTAGGGAAAAAGAAATGTGACATCTATTGATCCATTTTCAATTTTCATAATTGTTTTGATACCCAAAAATCCCTCAGCCTCACTTATATGTGCATAGTGTTTAAAACGAAGGACTGCTGTCGACAACAATTAGTAGTTGGAAACCAAATATCCCATGTAGCTGACTCCAAAGGGTTTTGAATCTTTGAACTTTTGTTTAAAAACTGAGGATTTATCAGTGAACCCACCCTTTGGGTTAATTTCATGAATTACTACCATAGGAGAAGCTAAAACTCCTCAAACCAAAACACATTCACAATTGAGTAAAACGATAAAGCAATGTGTAACTAAGATCAGCATCATACTTAACATGATAGTCCCCCATTATCATTGGTTTTTATTCCCAAATCAATCAAGGGATATTTTTCACAATATGCTACAAGTACTGAACGAATGAGCATCCAAAATGAAAACTCACCTCACCCAACAATTCCTACAAAATCTGGATCACATTCCCTGTCAGCTGCAAAACATGGACACTGACGACTTCGACATTGACTTTTAGCGCAGTGGCAGCCTCTAAACCGATTCTTGCAGCTCTTGGGACATCTGGATCCATATAGACAAGTGTCTCGTACAATTAGTCAATTACCCAATTTTAGATGCCAAAGTGTCAGGGTAGTTTACTTTGCTAGGTGCGAAATCTACTATACTCGAATCAAGTTTGGCCACCTGAAAAGGGAACTAAAACACTTGCGTACGGGATCAGTCAACTGATTAAAACTTGTTAATACTAATAATTTTTCAAGGAAAATACCAGGCAAATTTTACTATATTCATCGAGTACAAGAACTTGATGGTCACAACAAGTAAATGAAAGCTTAACCTAAAAGCAAGTAATCCAGGTAATGTAGGTAATGCGTTGAAGTACATTTTTGTAGCAATCCATGATAAAAACATTATTCACAGAAAAGAGAAAGGAAGATACGAGCAACAAAACAAAAGTGGTCAATAATACTGCTTTTTCTATTGCCCTTTATCCAATGAACTAATTTCCTAAAGTTAGTGGATGTAGTCTGCAATGGAATAAACATGAATCAAAAGTAAGAATTGAATAGGTTTATCTATGGAGATGACAATTGCATCTCCAACAAAATGATGGAGAGCAAACTTTTCTCCAAGGTAAATGAGAATGATGCTTCCACATGTTAAAAGAATGTAAAAATTTTAAACTTTGAGCTTATAATAAATGCTTAAACTAAGCAAGCTTCTTAGCACGGCCACTTGAGGGAGCAGCGTCCTCCTTTTTTGACCCAGATGCCTCAGGCTTCCTAGCCCAAGCAGGAGCTCTGTCTGGCTCATAACGGTAATCATAAAAAAGTTCCTCTCCAGAACTAATTCGCTCCTTGGCAAAAATGCCCACCCGATGATCCCCTGCAACCATGATGACCTGCCAGACAATGGTTAAACATGAACTTCAAATTAGCATACTCACTGCTCAACATGTGATGCTCCATCTAGAATCTAGACTACTGTTTTCAAAAAAAGGTTTAGCGGCATTTGATCAGTTGGCAGAACCTGAGTGCATAGGTAGTCAAAGGGTTACCTTTGCATAGCAGTTTGGATCTGGAGAATGATTTGCAAACTTCAATTTGTCACCCTTCCGATAAGCATCAAGAACAAACTGCAGACATGGATTTAAATACTCATATTTAGCACAGACATATTTAGCACAAATGGAAAAAAGTTGAGACAATCTGTAGTGCCATAGATCATGCCTGATCATTGAGATTGAATAGAAATGATGAATTTTCACGATCATATATCTTTCCACGTTTGTCTGCTTCTCGATGTGAAATCAGCTCTCCAGTATATTCACCAAGATATTCATGCTTTCCAACACTATTCTGTAGGCAAGCCAAAATTTATTTAGCATCAAGAGAAAAACAGAGGTCATATCATATGAAGACTGATTCCTTCGGTTGGGCTAAGCTTAAATAAAATCTGGATATTACCTTTAAGAAAGCTCCCCACCCAGAAACATCAGACCTGCCAAGTAAAACCTGTACAAATGGAGGATTAGACGTGAGTCAACGCAAATATAATGTAGAATCTTTAATTTCAAACTCTAGTAGTTTTACAAGAATCAGTTACATTCACAGTACATATCTAATCAATACAATGCCAATTAAGTGGTATATTTGATATACACCGAAGGCAACTGCTAAGAAAGAAAGACACACCCACACAGAATACCAAGCAGAAAAACGTTACAGAATTTCACCTCTGTATCTAAGCTGAACATTTTACTGCTTAGAATCAAACATTAGATACCCTATTTTGTCCTTAAACTTACGAAACAAATATATTGTGACTGCATATGAACTCAGCCCTCAACATTACTAAATTCACACTCCAGAAACCAAAAAATTCCATTGATTAGAAATTATTAATGCCCAAGGTTCCAGAAGGTATCAGTTTAGGGTTATTGTTTTGACCATATGCAATTTCATATACCACCTTATCCATAAAAATGGAATAGTGAATCCAACCAATTAAACCTAAAAGCAGCATTTATTTTTTAATAATTAATAAACTTTTGTCAAAATAACAGAGAAAAGGTACCACTTCAGTACATGGGACATATACAAAAGGAACACAACCACTGAACTCTAAGATAATAAATACTAGATTAAATGATAACTCAAGGACAAAATTAAACAAATACCTCTTCTACTGAACAAATTCCAAAATTAAGCAGAGCTTAACACTCATTAGTCATTAGAAAAGATGCTCATCCCAAAACTTGATGACTTCAGTAAATTTAATCCCCAAGCCCAGAAATGTAGAAAAATATTTGAAGAATATCTTCACAGTAGAAAGGAAAAAATATATACAACATTCATCAGTCTAAGTAAATTCAAATAGAAAGTAACAAAAGCAGGGTGATAGAAGAATGCAATTACTCTTTGTTGTTGTTTAAGAAGAAGCTTCATATTCCTACATTCATAGTTATCGCCTTTTTGGTCAGGAATTCCAAGAGTACCATCACCACAACTGCAAAACCGATTAAGAAAGCTCAAATGACAGATAGTGTGAAAACAGTGAAAAGAGTACCAATAGTAAAAGATTGGCTTAGTTACCTGGGCACCGTAAGATAACAAAATTCAACTGATTTGTCTAGGCGAAAAAGAAATGTGACATCTATTGATCCATTTTCAATTTTCATAATTGTTTTGATACCCAAAAATCCCTCAGCCTCACTTATATGTGCATAGTGTTTAAAACGAAGGACTGCTGTCAGACCAACAATTAGTAGTTGGAAACCAAATATCCCATGTAGCTGACTCCAAAGGGTTTTGAATCTTTGAACTTTTGTTTAAAAACTGAGGATTTATCAGTGAACCCACCCTTTGGGGTTAATTTCATGAATTACTACCATAGGAGAAGCTAAAACTCCTCAAACCAAAACACATTCACAATTGAGTAAAACAGATAAAGCAAATGTGTAACTAAGATGCAGCATCATACTTAACATGATAGTCCCCCATTTATCATTGGTTTTTATTCCCACAAATCAATCAAGGGATATTTTTCACAATATGCTACAAAGTACCTGAACGAATGAGCATCCAAAATGAAAACTCACCTCACCCAACAATTCCTACAAACATCTGGATCACATTCCCTGTCAGCTGCAAAACATGGACACTGACGACTTCGACATTGACTTTTAGCACAGTGACAGCCTCTAAACCGATTCTTGCAGCTCTTGGGACATCTGGATCAATATGTAAATCTTAAATGAGATTATCCATGCATCATCAATATTATCATTGAGTGTACAATAAAATCCTGTCGCAAAACATTTATAAGAATGACCCGATAATTGCCTAAATTGGTGTAAGACAGCCACACATCAATAAATGCACGCAATGCACAACCACACACAAAAGCTTAAATAACATCTAGATCCATAAACCCCACAATTTCCGTAAACTGGTGAGACATGCAGAAACTCTTCCAACTTGCACACTAAATCAGGAAGGAAAGCAGCCATCTTAGTAAAAAATAGTAATTTGCAATTTTCAGGGCAAGAAACACCTAGATACTTCTAGATGTTTGATTTCTATGAATTAAAGGGAAAAATAAGGACTCACCCACAATACTTTTCACAGCAGGTTCCATTTAGAAGGCAAGCACACTGCTTTCCACAAGCAGTTTGGCAGCCACATGGATTATACTGCCGGCATGGCTGATCTTTTCTCTCAGTAATCCGTTTCCTAATTGAATGGTAAGCAGCAGATTTCCAAGTATACTTCAGGCGACGTACTCTACCTCTCCTACGTAAAAATCTTGATCTTCTTCTTACTTCATTGTTACCCTAATGTTCATATAAACCACCAAGACCCCCAAAAAAATTTGAAAATAAAAAAGAAAGGAAAAAAGAAATATACTTCTTAAATCAAGGGGAGTCCAATATTTTGAGTCAAGCAAACCATATAAGATAAAAATACTAACCATATTTCCATTTAAATCAAACTTAGAATAGCCTTCAAGAAGAGAATTTGCGGCATCACCTTCGCCAAAGAGTTTATTCTCAGAGGAAGTCAGGTACTGGAAAACCTCCCAACAAGTCCTCAATCCATTTAATAGGTTCCTAGCTATTAGACAGCTGCCATTACCAACAAAGCTCCACCCTTAGATGAAGCATCAATAAACACAAACAAAAATATCTTGGAAACAATAAGCAAAAACAATGACATATATATACAGCAAAGCGTTTTCAAACTACACATTAGACACAGCAAAAAGAAAAATTGGGTTGTAAAATTGAATCTTATGAGCTGCCAACAAAAAATAACCATATGGAAACAAATTGACAGCAAAACTACTCAAATAAGTACTTTACAGTGATCCCGAGCTTTTAAAATTTCATGAAGCCAAGGAATATGTGGGGCATATGCTAAATACCACTAAACCTATTAATAGTTGTTTTTTCACAAGAAAAATGAAAAACTAACATCATTTCTCGTTAAAAAGAGATTGACGCAAGTTTTTTTTTTATTAAAGGTCAAATCTGAATCATGCAAAAATTCATCTCCAATCCTACACATAAAAAAAAATTCTTTTCAGGAAAATGAAGTAATATGGTAAATATTAACACATCACAGATTCCGTTGACCAACCTGTTCCGGCCAAAGATTTCAACACCTTTATCAAAAAGACCTTTTTCAATAGCTTTCCAAGATTTATCATCACTTAGTTCTCGTTTACAAATGTTCTCATCCACATACTCCTCTTTCCTAAAGGTGCTATTACTGCTGGTTGCAGGTGGGTCAGTAGTCATCTCAGACGATAGAACAATGGGAACTTCACCCTGCACTGAATTGCGGCTATCCTGAACTCCCTTCTTCCTAGTCCTTCCAGAATTTGGAGATTTAACATTCTTATGTGAAGAGGAATTAGCATCTTCGTTTTCTCTGCGTGAATAAGATCTAAGCTTCATATCACTAGGTGGAGGAACTCCACTCACAGTGGAATCAGAATCAAAAGCTGCCATTTTCTTCTGTCTCTTTTGCATGCAAACAAGAACACGTTCAGCAACTCGCTTGCTATTCCTTTTACGTATTCCATATTTTCCAACCACCTTAGTTTTTGAGGGTGATGAGCGGTGGGTAGAGGTGGTATCTTGCTTGGGGCCAACCTCTGAGTCACTGCTTTCAGAAATGTTTTTAGCATTGGACGAAGCACTTTCACTTTGGTAGGATTTTACCCGCCTTCTAGCAGACAGAACTGAAGATTTCTTCCTGGATGATGTCTGAGCCCCAGCACAATCAGATGATGAGACAGATCTTTCTTCAATATTAACCTTCAAAGGGGAGCTAACTGCAGCATTTCTTTCTGACTTCAGAACCTGACACAAGTGAATATAAAGCTACTTAATATATTGTTTTCAAATTCTTCAAGGAGATAAACCAAGCACATAAATCATATCAATCAAACAGCCGGAACATACCGATCGATAACAATGTGGGCCACATGGCACATTATCCTCATCTAAATGGTATGATGGAGGTTGTTTATCAGCCTGACATTTTTTTTTTTTTTACAAGAAAAATATTAGAACCTGGAAAGATCTTCTAATAAATATTAACAGTCAGTTACAGAATCAACTTACAGGAAACACAAGGTCCTGCGAACATCCATGTAACCTGCAATCAAAAACCTGCCAACACAAAGAGAATAGCAATGTCCTTAACTACAGGAAGATGGATGAAAACAACAAATTTTAAAGTACAGAATGGTACTTACAAGACATCTACGACAAAATAAGTTGTCAAAAGAATCCAGAGCTGCTTCAAGATCTTTTCCAACAAAACTCATATTTGGAACTTCATTGCCATCGTTAGAGCCCCCAACAGCATTCTCTTCCTTCACTAGAATTTCATATCTTGCCTGTATAAGATGTTGGACGGTGTTTCATATCTCTGTAAAGCCAGCACAAAGTAAATGGGAAACGGCTGGACCAAAGCTTACACTATGACCAGTTTTTATCAGATAATAAACAAGGAAATAATTGCAGATTAAACAAAATTGTCTGCTTCTTCAAATGAAAATTTATACCAATCTGCCACTGAGATTAAGTCCATACCTTGACTTCAGAAGGACTTCTGGAGAAACACTGCGCCAGTGATTCCAGTACAGTATCAGATAAACCAACTTCTTTCACAGTCATGCTGGTAATTAAAACAAAAATTACACAAGAATTAGTTGAAAAACATCAAAATTCCTACGACAGATTGGTTACGTATCTAGAAAAACCTGGGTTCCAGATAAAATTATTAAGAAAAGTTGGCTAAGGATAAATTAATTGCAAAAAAATTAAGGGCCCCTTTTATTCACTATTTTTAGCCTATCCAATCCAATCCTATCCAAATACACATTTGTTTCAATATTCAAAATACAATACTATTTTATTCAACTCAAAATATTTAGATTATTTTAACCCCCTAGGTTTGTTAATTTAACAAAACACCCCAACAATAAAAGTTTATAAATTGACAAAAACACCCCCACTCACCCACATTTGCCAGATTCCGGTCACCACCACCGGAAGGTGACCGGAATTTGCCATAGTGGCGCACTACCGGCTGGATATGGCCGGTAGTGCGCCGATCTGGCCTTTTCCGGCCAGATCCACGGAAAAGGCCAGATCTATTACCGCCAAGTCCAGCCTTTTCCAGCCAGATCTGGCTAGAGTTTTTGGCCGTTAACGGCTGTCATATCTTGGCCGTCATTCTAGTGACCGTAGATCTAGCCTTTTCTGGCCAAATGCACGGTAAATCTAGTCAGAAAAGGCCATATCAGATCACTACAAGCCATATTCAACCAAAAGTGCACCATTACAGTAGATTTCGGCCACCTACCAACGGTGGTGGTCGGAATCTGGCAAATGTGGGTAGGTGGAAGTGTTTTTGTCGATTTATAAACTTTTATTGTTGGGAGTGTTTAGTTAAATTAACAAACCTAAGGGGTTAAAAATAATCTAAATATTTTCAGAAAATGCTATTAAAAAATGTCAAAAAACTTCTCATAATATTACTCAACTCAACCTTTTTCAAAAGACTATTCTAAAAACTCCCAAAATAGTGAACCAAATGGAGCCTAAATTTTAAAAAATAAAAATAAAAAAGTGAGAGAGATGCTACAAAACCTTCCTAAGCAATTCATAGCCCGACAAACAACTAATAAAAGTTTCAAAAGATCCAGCCCACATACTAAAAATAATCAATGCTTTCAACTCAAGTACTCACTGCTTCCTTTGAGAAAATACAGAGTATTCTCATGATCTATCCAAAACAAAACCTCAATAGAAGAACTTTTCATCAGCTAAGATGCAGGCACATATGATGACCAAAGTTGGTATGCAAGCATTGAAAGTTAGTGATGAGAAAAGAAAGGACATAATTAAACAGGAGTGCTTTAGAGAACTTAGGATGGAGTAGCACTCATAGGTCGACCAAAATGATCTGAGATCCCAGCAAGGTGAAAAATTCACAAAGTCAATTCAAAGATTAGTGCAAGGTCTTAAGGGTAACTTGAGTTAGGATGAAGCACTCAGAGAAGAAAATTGAGAAGTTAAAGAAGTTAAGTCATTGACATAACTAAATCTAAATTACAGAATGAAAATTAATTGCTTTAGGTTGAAAAACGAACTTAGAAAATAGTATAGGGAATTTATTACTCACAAACATGAATTAGAGCAAAAGCTAAGAGTGACCGATAATCAACAACAAAAAAAAAAAAAATAACAATAAAAGCTTATATCAAGAGAGAAAGGGAAAAGAACCCAGAGACAACAATATTTAGATCACGTCAAATAGTTGATTATACCAACCTAAGAATAAAATCTTCAGAATCCACAAAATCTCTTCTCCTCTTCTTCAATTGCTTCCTCCGCTGTCACTGCAGATTAGTGCTTCACCGCCATTGTGGCATATATATCCTCCTTCGACCCACCACTGACTGATCCTCTGTCATTCTTTGATTTCTGCATCAGAATCATTATACCTTAATATCACAGTGAGCAAGCTAAAATAAAACTCCAACAAACAAGAAGTCAATATTTTAATTCAAGTAAATAAAAAATTGCACCAAGTAAAAGTTAGAACATTTGATATTCTATATCTCAATAGATAAGCACTCACTATACAAGTCACTAAAATGTAGCGAAGAAGCTATTCTAGCTATTAATAATAATTTAATATCCTTAATTCAATCCCACAAAAATAAATTGACTAAGAGGCAAAAACAACAGTATTCAGTCTGTCAATATGACTCTCAAAATAATGGATTACTGTAAAGACTCATGATACCCAAAACAGATCATAGTTGTATATCCAATGTTCAAATTAGTTAACAGCAAACAATAATTATAGTGACTAAACTATAGGAGAAAAAATTCATTCATAAGTAAAAGACAAGGCAACAGCTTGTTCACAATGGACTGAAGCCTAAGAGTACTTTTCAACTTTGATATGGTGTAATTTAAACAATTGGCAGAAATCCTCATTAAGATGTTTTGTTTTTTCAATCTCACTTTTATTTACTTATCTTTGTGTGGTTGGGAGTTATAAAACCAGAAATTGTGCATAGCATATTCAGGTGAACAATGCGCCCACGGTTCATGTTTTTCCTTAGAAGAAAAATAATTTTTGATTGGAATAATTATAAACGCTCACTGGTTTCATAATAAACTAAACAATAGCACAGTCAACAGTTTAAAACTTAGATTGTGGATCCTTTTTTTTTTTTTTTTTTTTTTAAGAAAAATAAAATAACTTATGCTGCTGTATAGCTGAAACATTTTATAAACAACAAGATTATATAAAAGAAAAAGGTTTAAAAAAGTCCCATCTAGAACATTTAGGCAAAATACAAAGTATTCTAACAAACCTGTCTAGAAAAATCCATGTAGTATAAGGAGGTAATTTAACCTAACGAGCTTAATAGGGCGAACAACATTTTTGGAAGGATTGTAGATCCTGAATAGCTGTAGAAGCATGACCATCTTCCTGGGAGCTATGGCTATCCCTATCCCATCAGCATCAATACCAATTTGCACCCCAAATGCATCTCTTTGCCTCCTAGTTAGTAGATCTACACTGTTTGTGATGTTACTTATTAGGTGATTTTCTTTCCAGTGATAATCTATATATAGGTTCGTGATACCAGCCAACTTTTGCCTATTTCTTCCACCTTCTCTGAGCAAAAGAAAGAGCAGAAACAATTAGACAATGATGAATACAAGATCCAAAAGATTGCTACTTAAAAATCAGCTATAACGAGCTGAAAAACTGCACCTTTATTGAAACACAGTGGTCAGCAGCAAGTTGCTTCTTTAAAGAATCAAAACAGACAAAATCTCCTTATGAGATGTAGTTTTGTCTTGAGATTTTATCATCTGTAAACATAACAAAGCAAATGTCCCTATAATTCAACAAACACTAGAAAAGAGAATTTAAGAAATTAAAAGTTTCACATTGCAATAAATAACTCTTCGAGAGAATTGTTGTAAAAGGCAAAGCAAAATAATATTATGAGAAAAATGCAAGACAAATTTCTGCTATGACACACGTACACCTTTTTCACTTTCGTTCTTCTCAAAATTTCCTAATGTTGCATCATCCAAGCCTTATATTAAGAAAATACTTCGGTAACAATTTAAATTAATATCCAAAGCATAGACCAATTATCCTGTATTAAACACAATGACCATAATTTGATCTCTAATACACTCCAAATAAATCCAAAAACCTAAACAATCCACTTTAATAAAAGGCAGCCATTTTTTTCCTCTATCCAATAATTACCTACTCAAATAATGTGCATTTATAAAACTTTACAGAAACCTAATCCACTAAAAAAAATGCAATCATAATTTAGTCTATAATTCACTCAAAATGAATTCAAAACCTAAACAATCCAGAGTTCACAAAATGCAGTATACTCCCTCTATCTAATAATTACCCTATGAATGCAGCATACATTCAATTAAAATCACATCAAAAATTTCCAGCGTATCACCAAAATAAAATTCAAATTAGATACCGAAGAATCTTAAGAGGCTCCGATTTGCTGGCGGAAGCAGAAGGCGAGGCCTTGGAAGCCATTGTAAACTGAACCGAAATCGGCAATGGCGGTTCGGATCAGGATCCGATTCATGCATAGACAATGCCGAATAAGAATGTGTGTATGGTAGGGTTCGCGAGAGGATTTGGCGGGTCTGCTTGAAACCCTAAAGTAACATCCCTCGCTCTCCAAAAAAAAAAAAAAAAAAAACAAACAATTCCTTTTTTTGGGGTTCAATAAGTAATCTAGTTGAGTAGTTGGTGGTTTTGATGGGCTTTTGTTTTATTTAGTAATTTGGTTAATTGAACATTGGTTGCGTAACGCGGGGGGCGCGCGTGGAACAAGTTTTAATAAAGGATAATAATTGGGGGAAAGTGGTTGAATTATTCACTGTTGCAATTATTCCTCTTCCTGTTTGGAGTTGGAGTTGGAGTTTGGACAAACAACAAAGCAGCGAGAGCCTTGAAATGTGAGTTGTTTTTTTTTGTCTTCTCCTTCGTTTTTCTTATTAAAGTAATACACAATGTATTATGCATGCAATATAGTCAAAGACTTTAAATTTTTTTTTTTTAATGACCGGAGATGTTCAAGCCAGTTTACGCACACCTCGACTAATTCCGAAACTTTAGAATTATCAACGGATAAAAGCTCTAGTAGTTATCCTATTAGCTACGTACACTCAACTAATCCCTTAAAATCCTGTAACTACCGATCGAGTATTAAGAACTTAGTGACTACCCTTATTAGCAATTAATGAGGGATTTAAACTTAAAACTTCTTGAATAATATACCAAGAGTTATATCGAATCACTCGATACCAAAGGTAGTTGACTTAAATTGTATTATATTATTTGCGTACATTAGTTTTTCGTTTGGGGTAATCGCTAAACCTTAGTTTTTATTGACCCTTCTCGTTTTCGAAATAATCACAAAACCCCCATTGTTACTCTCACTTACATTAATTAGAACTAAGCATGATTACATATACTTAAAACTGAAATTTTACTGATAATTAAAACAAATTTAAAATAAATGAATTTAATATTTTTGATGTTTTAATAATTAATAAGAACCAATACGTATAGTAATGTTAAAATGGGATTCTTACATTTCAAAAGTTTTAAAAAATAAAAGGGTTTTGGGATATATCCTTTAATCAAACGGTAACATTACGGTTGACCGTCAACATGGGTTTTTAATTATTAGAAATAACATACTGAATAGATAACGTTTTAAATTTGACTGTTGACTATAATTTGCTAATATAAAATAAGAGTAATGTTAAATATACAAAACATTATATAAACTATTCTGATGTGAGAATTTTACACGTGGACATATCATTATTTAATTTGTTTAAACTGTTTAAATTATATAATTTAAAATTATCTAATCATTGGATGACAATTTTTGCACTTTTATTAAATGGACCCTTATAGTTTCAAAATTGTACACTTATACCTTTTTACCCTAATCTATTATATTGATGTTACCGTATGTAGATGCTTGAATCCACAATCAAGAAGTTGGGATGTGGCGACACGAACAAGAGAAAAGAGACGGACATAGATCATTGACACCGGATGGTGCCAGCTAGGGGGGGACTCTGGTGCCAGTCAAAAATATATCGAAATTTAATAGAAACAAAAGTAAATGGTGTTGTGTGTGAAAGCAATTGTGATGGTGGGAGCGTATGAATGTCAATGTTGGTCCTCCGAAGAGGTTCGTCGGTCCTCCAAAGAGGTAGTCTCTAGAGAGGTTTTCGGTCATTCGAGTTCGAGCTTCCCAATACTCGGCTTGAGCAGTTTGCAAGCTTACTGGAGCTCGACAGGGGATATTTGCAAGTTTTTACCATTTTGCATATAAAATATTATTTCAATTCGAGAAAGGGAGAAACCCTAACTTCTTCATCCGCGCAGACTCACTTCTCCTTCTCTTTCCTTCTTCGTCACCTTCTTCTCCTTCTCTTTCTCTTCCCCTTTGAGTGCTTACATACACTTTCATTATCCACGCTGAACTCGAAATTTAGTGCTAGGAGTTATTTCGATCATTTTCGATTGGTGTAAAAATTCTGGTTAGGGTTTTTTTTTCTGACTATAGTGAGATTTGTTTGATTTGTTTTAGGGTTTTGTATGTTGTAAAAGTTTCTAGGGAATCGTTTGATTTGTTTCAGGGATTTCAATTGGTGTAAAATTTATGGCTAAGAGTTGTTTGATCGTTTTTGTTTTGATTTTTTTATCGAGCCGATCCCCATAATCCTTGCATAGCTCGAGTTCAGCTTGAACTCAACATCGTAAATTCGGTTGAGCTCGAGTTAGCTCAACTCGGCTCGATTACACCCCTAAATTTGTTTTCTCAATTTCAATCAGCTGTGTCATGCGAATAATATACGTACGAAAGATTAATAGGAAATTATAGTTGAATGGCAACACTTTACAGAGATGTGTGGCAGCGATATATGCTGGGTCATAATTTATGCACAAACCATGCTTGTCTTTTTTAGCTAGTTAGTAGTTTATTTTATCAAAAAGTATTTCCTGAAGTATATATTGTACATCTCTAGAGTCTTTGATAATCTTGAAAGAAACTACGAAATTTTTTTAATTATCATCTATAAAAAATTTCAAGCAGAAGGAAATGGACTTGCCGCTTGCGTGAAATTGGCCTATCAACTGACGTTTAATGTAATTCAACACGTCTATCTCAATTCTCAAACATGATTTCTGGAAGCCAACCATAATCAGTCATCAAAATCCTAATAAGATTTATCTTGAAGAAACTACGAAATCTTTTTATATTATCTGGCTATTCGCTTCTATTAAAAAAATTCTAGCACAAGGGAAATGGACTGCCGCTTGCTTGAAATTGGGTATCAACTCACGTGTAATGTAATTTCACCACGGTTGTTTAATTCTCAAA